TAAAGAATCTGATTAACAGTATGAACTGGTGATTGTAATAGAATCAGGGACATAGAAAGGGAATGGACTGACTATTCTTGGGGGGGGGGTGGGGGAGGGGATGTGGGAAGAGACTGGACAAAAATCGTGCACCTATGGATGAGGACAGTGGGTGGGGAGTGAGGGAGGAGGGTGGGGTGAGAATTGGGTGGAGGGGAGTTATGGGGGGAAAAAAGAGGAACAAACGTAATAATCTGAACAATAAAGATTTAACTAACCAAAAAAAACCAAAATACAAGCAAGAAATAATCTAGAATATAAATAACTTGTTTTAAAAAGTACTTATTCTCTTTAGAATAGTAGCTTAATGAAAATACTGTAAAGGAAGTCTATATTCACCGTAATTTTACAAATGTAGTATTCATACGTCAAAGACAAGTGAGTATTGACCAGAAAAAGACAAAGAATTTCTTACATTAAACAAATCAAATAGCAGTGAATAAATACAAAGATAAATATTTACAATTAGGTTTATAAAAAATAAAATAAATTTATCTTGACTATATCTATCTCTTTGAAATTACTATTCTATCAAAGATAATAATTACTTTAAACAGTCATTCAAATTATTGACACTGAGGAAGGAGGAATATTCCATAACCTATAAATTAAAACAAAATTGTTGCAAATCTCTGATGAATGTCTCACTTATTAGCATTTGTTTCCATAGTTTGTTTTCCTTAGCGTGGTTAAATTGTAACCTGAGCAGTACCTACTCAGTGATCCACAACAGGGCATTCCAATTTTTATTGTGCAACCATTTATAAACCTTGGATTCTATCCACTTTACATAGCAACACCACTGATGACTCTTAGGAAACCGATGCTATTTGGCTCTTTCCAGCAGTGCTAAGGTTTACAGCCCAACATATTGGGGTTTTTTTTTTAAGTCTTTAAAGACAAAGATTGAGTTGCAAAAGGATTAATTCACCACCTGCTCATCAGCTTCAGAAACTGTTGCACATGTCTTTTTTAGAGGGAAATTTGAAGATAGGGGAACAGATCTGGGAGGAAAATTTGATTTTTACTGGATAACCTCCTACTGTTTTATTTCCTTTATGTATTATACCACATGCATGAATTATCTTACAGTACCTACAAGCCAAAATTTAAAAAATAAAGTTAGCTACATTAAAAACAACTATAGCCCTAGCCAGTTTGGCTCAGTGGATAGAGTGTCAAACTGCGGACCAAAGGGTCCAGGGTTTGATTGCGGTCAAGAGCACCTACGTACCTTACCTCGGTTGCAGGTTCCTCCTCAGCCCAGGCCTTGGTCCGGGCGCAAGCAATCAATATTTCTCTCCGTCTTTCCCTCTCTTCCCACTTTCTCTTAAAAAAAAAATCAATGGAAAAATATCCTTGGGTGAGGACTTTAAAATAAAATAAAATAAAAATCATAAATGTTTTTAAAAACTATATAAGTAGTTTTTTGTATCTTCCTTAAAAATAGTCAGTGCTTTCCCCAAAGTTTCTTGAAACTTACTAATATTCTTACTATAAAATTCTTTTATATTATGTAAAAACAAAGCTGAATCTCTGTATAGTCAGGAGGAGCAAGTTAATTCTCTGTGTTCCCAGAGTCATAGTACCAAAAATAAACCGGACTCTTCAAAATTCAAATCTCTTTTTAATCAAATGTTTTTATCCCGCCTCAACAACTTTTTGTTAAACTTGTTCAGAAGAAATAAAATGTGCTGAGTTAAATTGTTTCTTATTTCTTAACCTCTAAGCTCCAACAAATGTGTCATGGGCAATGAAAATGCATTTAAAACAAACCAAAAAAAAAAAAAAAGGCCAAGAATCTGAACACGTCATGAAAGGATTCAGTAACTGGGTAAGAAAGGACTGGCTGTGTAAGACATTGAGGTTAAGGTGCTAGGAAACAAAGCAGGGAAAATTCACCTGGGCCCAGGGTCCATAGTCACCTGGGAAGTGAACCCCAGATAAATTGGCCAATGTCATCTGTGCTCATCTGTGGCTCAGCTGCACTAGTAAATTAACGTATTAACGAATAGCGGGCAAAGAGATCTAAGTCACCTCCATTTTCATTCTTCGTGAGGAAGGCCCACGTAGGGCTCCAAAGTCCAGGTCCAAACTTGTTTTTGGAGAGGTCCAAATCAGAACCTGGGATTTCCATTTTCATCCAAATATGATTTTAAACAATGCTTCTTTCCCCTTCGACTCGAAGCTGGTTCACAGAAATGGAAGCAGTTATGGAGAACTTCAAAACAACTTGCTGATAAAGCCAAGCCAGCCTTTGGCCTTTAAGACTTTTCAACATTCATGTAACAATGTTTTTGTGCAAAATAATTTCAGGGATAGGGAACTTTTCTGGGATGATTTATGCTAGAATACACAGCCTCTGTACATAGTCCAAATATTCAAATATCTCTTTAACTAGCCTTAATAGTTTATGTTAGTGCTTGTCAATGGGGTTGGCCTATGTATTAATTTGGTAAATCTACCAAAATGATTTAAATACATGCAGTCTGCACTTATTCACCTCCAGTGTACACACACACACACACACACACACACACACATACACACACACACATACAGAGTGAGGTCTATGTCACTAGATATTAGATTTTATCCTATTCCATTATAGTGCCTTCTCACAGTAGAACACCAACTGAATAGATTTTATCAAGCTTAATTTTCTTGAGTTGTGTTAGGAAAACAATAGTTATATTCAATACACGTTTTAAAATTATACATGCTCTCCCACCCTGAAAATGACTACGTTTACCACTCAATTCTGCCAACAGCGCCCTTTCTTAAACACATTCCTCACACTTTTATGATGGCAAAATTCCAATATATAATAATGCAATGTGACATTACAAAAGATTGTACTCAAATTTTGGGTGAGTTTCTACATATAAGTATAATGTCTCCATAATACTAGTATATTGTGACATATGCTGTCACTTATTAAATTCACTTTTATGGCTTTGGCTTCTAAAAAAATTTTCATTTGCTTTTCACAAAAATCACATTTAATGTAGCAAGACACCACAGTTTTTGGATTGAAATTACAGGACCTGAGATTTAAATTATAATTCTCTACTTAAGCAGCCACAACATATGAAATAAAATGTTCATGTTTTATTTAAAATAATCATCTTTACTAAAACTACTCAATGACATTTATTATTTTAAAATATTTTAAAGCCATTTTTAAGAGTAAGGAAATTTAGGACCTTTATTAAACCTGGAGGGCGGCCTGTGGTGTGGTCCTCTGCACTGGTGCCCTGGAGGCAGGCTCTCTAGACTGTGAACCGAAACTCTGCTACTTTATTTTTTAATTCTTTCTTGAGTTCAGTCACTTCCTTTTTGAATTCTAATTTATTTTGCTCTTTCATTTCTTTTTTTTAGGGTTTTACTTTTATTTGTTCTTTATTGATTAAGGTATTACATATGTGTCTTTATTTCCCCCCAATACCCTCCACCCTCACCCCTCACTCATGCCCTCATCCCCCTAGTGCAGTGATGACGAACCTTTTGAGCTCGGCATGTCAGCATTTTGAAAAACCCTAACTATGGTCCTGTGTCACATATAAAAATTTTTGATATTTGCAACCATAGTAAAACAAAGACTTATATTTTTGATATTTATTTTATATATTTAAATGCCATTTAACAAAGAAAAATCAACCAGAAAAATGAGTTCGTGCGTCACCTCTGACACGTGTGTCATAGGTTCACCATCACTGCCCTAGTGTCTGTGTCCATTGATTATGCTTATATGCATGCATACAAGTCCTTCGGTTGATCTCTCCCGTTCTTTCATTTCTTATATAATTTTAAGGTATCTTATCTTATTTTGAAGTAATATAGTGCTTATGATCTGCTTTTGGAGTACATCTTTCTGGTATGCTTTTATTGCTATTTTACCCCTGATAAAAACTGTTTATGGTACCAGACCTTGGTATTTTTCTGTTGCTCGGTTTTACGTGAATTTAGTTTCCCTGAACTTTAAAAAGGAAGCTAGAAACAGAAAGTGTTTATAACTTCGTTGGTTAAAAATATAGCAGCTTATGGTGACAGGAGAAAATTTGACTTTGGGTGGTGAAGCAATATACAGATCTTGTAACATAGAAACCTACACCTGAAACCTGTATATTCATATTGACCAATGATACCCCAATAAATTTAATAAAAACATCACAAATATGGCAGCTTGCTTTTAGAGCTTTTCTGACTGTCGACCCTTTACTACATTAGTCCAGACCCTCTCTTTCCTTCTTCACTGCCCCTGCCCTGCTTAATACCCAGCCTCAAAGTAAAACTGCTGGGTTAGACTTGAGATTTTGTGGGATTAAACCACTCTGGCCCCCGTAGGCCTTCCTTTGAGATCCTCAGTTTCCTAGCCACCTAAGCTGTGTGACCTTAGACAACTTGCTTCACCTCTCTGTGCCTTGTTTCCTCATTCATGACATAGAAAATGTTATATGATAATGAGTTTTCATTCAAAGTGGTTAAAACATTGTTTGACACTCAGTGATCACTTTTTGAATGTCTATTTTATAAGTAAAATATCCATTTGCACCTTCTTTATGAACTCATCTTCAAACTGTAGAAGCTCTCAGGTCAACTGATCACAACTGTCCAAATCTTTAGTGCCTCAGGAAGTCTATTCAAGTGCTAACCATAGTTAAAGATTTAATTTATCCAGTCAACATACCTCACACTATTTTAGTTATTAAGAAAAGACCCAAGAGAAAGGAAAGCTGTTCTCTTTCATCCTACAAAGAACACAAATGCCCTTGTCCCTGGTGTTGAGTCAATTCTCATTACATCTGTTTCATTTTTTCCTCTCCCTAGGAACTCTAAGAACTTGATTTGTATATAATCAAACAGGACTTCTCAACACCTGGTACCATTAGTAAAAGTGGCAAACACTCTTTTTACAAAGGCACTGAAAAATTTTTTCTTAAAATTCCAGGGCATTTTCAAAGGTTTTTGAAATTTTCCTTTCTTATAGCTTATGATTTAACTGCTGCAAATGTCTATTACCTACAGTAAGAGTGTGTCACTTCCTTACCTTGTTGAATCATTTTATTCCTTTTTAAGCAACTTTCCTTTAAAACATATGAATAGCAAAAAAAGCTAACCAACAAGATATTTGGAATTTGGGTTGCTAAAAGGTATCTTTCTACATCAACCTAGGATTTATCTAGAAAAAAAAAAACAACCAGAAAAATGTGTGTCAGAAAAACTCATTACAACTAAATGTACTAGTAATGTGTGGTACTTGTTTGGATCCTAAACCAGAAAAAAAAAAAATTTCTTCTTTTCTATAAAGGAAATTATTGGGAAAATTGATGAAATTTAAATAATGTTGGTAAGATAATTTTTGTATTAATTTTCCTGATAAGGGATGAACTTAAGATATTTGGGTAAAGAGGCATCATGCCTGCAGAGAAAGAGAAGATGTGAAAGCAAATGTGGCAAATGTTAACATTTGGGGCCGAAACTGGTTTGGCTCAGTGGATAGAGCGTCGGCTTGCGGACTGAAAGGTCCCAGGTTCGATTCCGGTCAAGGGCATGTATCTGGGTTGCGCACACTTCCCCAGTGGGGGATGTGCAGGAGGCAGCTGATCGATGTTTCTAACTCTCTATCTCTATCTCGCTCCTTTCCTCTCTGTAAAAAATCAATAAAATATATTAAAAAAAATTTTTTTTAAAAAAATGTTAACATTTGGGGACTCTGGGAGAGGGGTATATGGGAATTCTTTCTACTATTTTCTTACAACTTTAGTGAAAGTCTAAAATTGTTTCAAAGTAAAGATGTTTTTTAAAAGTTAGGTGTTAAGAGCAGAAAGACAATAAGATTAATGTCCCTGAAGGTCTTTTTGAGCACTTACAGCATTGTGTGGAAAGCAAAAACCTGATTTTAAAAGAAAAGTTGGGGGCTTAGAGTGCCTCAAATATTTGGTTAGGAAGGCACTCCCTAGAAAGTCCTCTGATAGGTGCACTGATTTTTTATTCACTATTCTGCCATTCCATATTAGCAGAATCTATGATATACTAGAGAGCTAATAACTCAGGCTAGGGCCATTTAAAAATAGCAGGCACTCTCAGATTGGCAAAGATGAAGTTGAGTTATTATGCTCAGTTGGCAGGCGGGGCAACCATGGGATTTGTAATCTGTTGGTGGGATTTCGGTTGGTATCATCTACTATAATCTTTTTGAGGAGCGAATCAAGTAGTATCACATTGTAAATGTCTGTACCCTTTGACTTAGCAATTCTACTTCTAGAAATTTATCTTAAAGAAATAGTGAGCTGCCCTAACCGGTTTGGCTCAGTGGATAGAATGTCGGCCGTGGACTGAAAGGACCCAGGTTTGATTCCGGTCAAGGGCATGTACCTTGGTTGCAGGCACATCCCCAATATGGGGTGTGCAGGAGGCAGCTGATCAATGTTTCTCTCTCATTGATGTTTCTAACTCTCTATTCCTCTCCCTTCTTCTCTGTAAAAAAATCAATAAAATATATTTTAAAAAAGCAAAGAAATAGTGAGCTGAGTGAACAAAGATCTATTTTCAAGGACATTAACTCTGTCACAGCAAAGAATGGGAGACATTATGTGTCCATCAGAAGATTAAAAAAGTTATGGTTTATCTATACAAGAGAATATTCTTCAGCCATCACAAAGTATGAGATAAATGACAGAGAGCAATATCCCTATATATTAAATGAAAATCAGGTTGCAGAATAGTATGTATTGTATGGTCCTATGTATATTTATATTACTTAATTATATTTAAAATAGAAATATGATGTAGACATTTTTTAAAAGATTGAAATAACATGTAAAAAATTGTTGATAGGTGGTTAGAAAAATATGCATTGCATTATTCATGGCAGACTACTATTCATGCAAGGCCCAGTGCAAGCTGAAAATGTAGAGCCCCTCATTAAAAAATTAAGAATTTCAAAATAATGACAGCAGAGTATTAAGCCTTTTAAGTGTAGGGCCCTGTGCAACTATATAGGTGCATTGTCCATAAAGCTGGCCCTGGCTATATACTACACTATACACTTAGGTGTATGCTACACTACCCTATATAGGGTGGGGCAAAAGTAGGTTTATAATTGTGAGTATGTGAAATAGTTTTATTCTTGTATTATTAATTATTGTATTATTTCCATATGAAAACTATAAACCTACTTTTGCCATATCTTGTACATTATAGTGCAAGGTAAATGTTAGGATATAAACCATACTCAATGGTAGTATATGGGTGAATGGTTGGAAATATACATGTTGTCTATCTCCCCCTCCCCCATAGATACACACACCTCTTCGTTATTTGGGGAATTATAATAAGTGAAATACTTTGTGATAAATGCAATCCAAAGCATGTTTAAGTTATTCCTAAAGGAAGCTAACATATTAATAATGCTGAGATTGGAGAGTTTCTGGTGGCCCCTTTGGATCACTTTGCATGCCACGAGAGTGCCTCCAAGAGGACTGACAGAGATTCAATGAGGAGACAGAGATGTACAGCTCTCAGAAGAGATTTCTGTGGCAAATTTTAATAACTTTTAAAGAGGTTTTACAATAGTGTCTATCAAGACAGATAAATGATGGGTAATTTTTCCCTCCTTTTAGGTGGCAAGTAGAAGTATAAGAAAAAAATAAACATAAAAATTATAAACAGAAATTTCCTATCTCTAAAAATTAAGTAGTTCTTCCAGGCCACCGAGGTATCAACAAATATTTTTCTACTGCTCTAAATGGCTTACGATATCCTTCACTATCCAAATAATAGTATTACTAGTCATAAGTTGACTTGATCTGGCTCCAAATTGAATGTTTTCTCTGATGCTTCTATTTATAAGTAGAATTAAAAACCTGGGAAGTCTAATTTGGGATCAGCATGCCATGCAGATCAGGGTTTGATTAGGCAGATCTTAGGGCTATAGCCAAAAGGCAAGAGAATATGACATTCTAATATCTAATAGGCTCTAAATAAGATGGTCTAACACTTATTAGGCAGATTCTTATTAGTAATGAGGACAACTTTTAACAGGGCCTAATGAGCGATGGGATACGCACATAGGTGAGAGGACAAGGGTTTCCAAGATCCAACGGAGTCGGGCAGGGGTGAGAAGAACATTAAAAGATTTGTTGTGAAAGATTTTTTGAAGTCCATCATAAGATCATCAGTGGTGACTCAGTCTAAATGACACACCAGGAATTACAGACCTTTGACTTCATAGGCATCTGGAGAATTTGTTGAAACTATTTGAGAAGTTCTCCAAGAGACTTCAGGGTTTTGTACAACATAGTGACAGAAATATAAATAGAAACTGATAAATCCTATGAGGTATACTGTGTATTTCAAGACATTTTGTGCCTTAAATGTGTTCAATTTTGCACTGTTTTTAATTCATTTTTCAGAATTATGTGAGTACACATGGTACCATGTTACATGTACTCTATGCTCAGTAATGGGGAAAAACAATTAATAAATATATCAGAGTCCTCCTTGCATGTGATTATCCAAGGCAGACATCTGTCTTAGGCCATCAGTTCCGTCTTCATTAAAATCATTAAAATCACTCATATTCGTGAGATTTAACTTTCAGCAATCTGACTAGCAAATTTCAAAAAGGACCCAAAATCCAGGTATAAGATATTACTGAAGGTAGGAATCTATTATTTCCACAAATCCAAAAAAAGAGAGCTCTTTTAATGTATTTGCCTTTTGTTATCTCCATAGATACTTATAATTGCTTCTACCTTAAATATTACAATGACTTTCTCTTTAAGAAGATATTATATGCATGCACACATGTGTTTGACATAAAGAACTTTCTAAATGATATCCTCTAAAGAGTAAATGGGCTATGATTCAAGAAATATTGAGTTCCCCTGTAATGAATGTGTTGTACTTAATGAGAACGTAGAAGTGAGAATTCAAACACAAAACAGATAGTTGAACTAGATAACATTTGTGCTCTTCTCCAACTCTGAGACATCAGGAAATTGAAACAATTCTTAGAAGTCTTGAACAGGGCAGAGGATGATGACAGGGAGAATGGAGAGGCGGCAAATGAGACACTATGAAGATATCCTATTACCTCAATACAATTTGCCATTGACTGAACATGGAACTTAGAAGAAAAGGATGAAGAATCCAAAAAAATAGCAAACCCAAAGTTTTCAGCTCAAGAAACCGAGTAGCACAACTAATAGAAATGAGAAAGAATGAAGAATTAACAGGTTTTCTCTCATTATTTTCATTGTGAATTCCCCTGAACAGGGTGACTAAAAACAGAGACATTAACTCTGCATTTCTGTTTTGTTTGTTGGTATCAGAGATGGTTCCAGGAGATCAGTCCAGATGTGACAAGTGACCCCACTCCGGGACCTGTGAAGGCATGGCCCTGAGGAGGAAACAGGTAGGGGGAAACCAGAATGCCTGGCTAATGAGCTGGAATTCAGGAGCTGATCTAGAACCATGAACGGAGACAGGTTCTGTCTCTTTGGGAATTGACTCAAGAACTGGGACAGGCCTGAACCCTCAAGGAGCTAGAGAAGGCAGTGGCAGAGGATATGAGATTGAAGCTAACAATGAAGAACTCAGAATAGACTTCACAGACTCAATGGAGCCCGTCTTTTAGAAGAATATAACTTAGAATATGCTATTTGAAAAAACTAGAGGCAGAAAGGACCCAGGAAAATGTTGCAAAAATCTATTCAGACGGTAAAATGGAATTGGATATTACTGGCCTATAAATTCTGTCCTTGAAACATTAATTGTTTGGTGCATTTTTTGAGTAAGCACTATTTACCATTATTTTACATTTGCACTACTCTGAAATTTTTCATGAAATACCATCACCTTTTACTGTGATGCCTAATTATGCCTAATTTAACTCTGTCCTTACCTGAGGCTGAAACCACCTTTTCATGAGATGTTACACCAGATCTAGTGGTTCTCAAAGTATATTCCAGGAACCAGTACCATCAGTGAGCACTTGTTAGAAATTCAAATCTTCAGGTGATCTCCCAGAGTTGGAGTCCACCAATTTGGGTTGTAAGTCTTGCAGGTGGTTCTAAAGCACACGCTAAAGTTGAGAACTACTGCCTTAGGCATTTCACAACTGCATCTCTTTACAACCTGTTAAGGAAAAAACATTCTTGTTTTCTTTGTACTCACAGCACTACCCTCACTTCTGATCACCAAATTCGTAGTTTCTTCCGCCACACCAAACAATTCTACGACACATTGGGTGTCTTACAATTTAACTCAGTTTTTATACTACTGGGAGATAGTGACGGATCCCACAGGTTAAAGCCTCCCCACCTCACTTCACACACCAATTACAAGTTCAGGTTGTCACCTGTGCTTCTGACCAGGTATACATTGGAGGTTCATATAACCCCTCCTGGGGTTTAATTTGCTAGAGCACCTCCCAGAATTTCCAAAAGGCTTACTGATTGGATTACCAGTTTATTATAAAAGGATCTCACTCAGGAACAGCCAGATGGAAGAGATGCGTAGGACAGGGTATGGGGTAAGGTGCAAAAAACTGCCTTTCCATGTCCTCCTGGGGCTCACCACCCTCTCAGCACCTCCACACATTCAACAAGAGGAAGCTCCCCAAACCTGTTCTTTTTGGGTTTTTAAAGGAGACTTTATTATGGACACATGATTGATTAAAGCACTGGCCATTCAACCTCCAGTCCCTCTCCCTTCCCAGAGGTCAGAGGGGGGTAAGACTGCAAGTTCCAACCTTCTAATCACATAGTTACTTCCCCTGACAACCAGCCCCCTAATCTTAGGGACTTTCCAAAAGTCATCAAATTAACATACATTCAGATGTCATTGAAAGGGGTTTGCTATGAATAACAAAGGATACCCAAATATTCATTCTGAAGCTATTTCAGAAGCTGAAAAGACTCTCCCCCCCCAC